TTCCCTTTGGGCTTCTCTTTCCCTCTTTTATTAGTTTTTATTCTTAACTCTTGTGACTTCAGTTCAGTTCAGTCGCTGATTCGTGTCTGACTCTTTGCGACCCCATGAATCACAGCACGCCAGGCCTCCCTGTCCATCACCAACTCCCGGAGTCCACCAGAACCCATGTCCATTTAGTCGGTGATGCCATCCAACCATTTCATCCTCTGTCGTCCCCTTCTCCTCCTGCCCCCAATCCCTCCCAGCATCAGGGTCTTTTCCAGTGAGTCAGCTCTTCGCATGAGGTGGCCAAAGCATTGGAGTTTGAGCTTCAGCATCAGTCCATCCAGTGAACACCCAGGACTGATCTCCTTTAGGATGGACTGGCTGGATCTCCTTGCAGTCCAAGGGACTCTCAAGAGTCTTCTCTAACAACACAGTTCAAAAGCATCAATTCTTCGGCACTCAATTATCTTCACAGTCCAAATCTCACATCCATACATGACCACTGGGAAAACCATAGCCTTGACTAGACAGACCTTTGTTGACAAAGTAATGTCTCTGGTTTTTAATATGCTGTCTAGGTTGGTCATAACCTTCCTTCCAAGGAGTAAGCATCTTTTAATTTCATGGCTGCAATCACCATCTGCAGTGATTTTGGAGCCCAGAAAAATAAAGTCAGCCAATGTTTCCCCACCTATTTGCCATGATGTAATGGGACCGGATGCTATGATCTCAGTTTTCTGGATGTTGAGGTTTAAGCCAACATTTTCACTCTCCTCTTTCACTTTCATCAAGAGGCTCTTCAGTTATTCTTCACTTTCTGCCATAAAAGTTGTGTCGTCTACATATCTGAGGTTATTGATATTTCTCCTGGCAATCTTGAATCCAGCTTGTGCTTCATTTAGCCCAGTGTTTCTCATGATGTACTCTGCATATAAGTTAAATAAGCAGGGTGACAATATACAGCCTTGACATACTCCTTTTCCTATTTAGAACCAGTCTGTTGTTCCATGTCCAGTTCTAACTGTTGCTTCCTGACCTTCATACAGGTTTCTCAGGAGGCAGGTCAGGTGGTCTTGTATTCCCATCTCTTTCAGAATTTTCCACAGTTTGTCAAAACTTTTCCTCAAATGACTGGGTATGCAAATGACAACTCTGCAATGTGTGTGTCATTAGACTGCTTTAGTATTTTTATTATTGAATTGAATGTTTAAAATTGGCTTTTTGAATGGGATAAGTGTTATCTAAGTTAAGTTTGCTATTGAATCAAAGTCCGTAGTTGGGATTTTTTGAAAAGTCCTTATCTTCTGTCTTACATGTTAAACTGGCATCTTTGAAGTTGAATACATTTTTCATAGACTGTTGCTGATATGTTTTTGAATGATTAGAAATGTATTTTATCTTGTGAACATTTACAAATTTCTTTTGCTTCCTCACATTTTCTGTTTAATATTAATTCCTCCTTTTAAAACTTAAGTTGTAGGACAGATTGATTGATGTACACAAGCTTTATCTTAAATTTGAATATTTGCTAATATATATCTGTAGCTGTGCATGTGTCTGTAAGGATCTTTGATCCCAGTATGTGATCTTACACGGAAGCATGTAGCTTATTTTAAATATTCTAATGGTATTTGTGGTTCTCTCTCTCCTGAGAATGAAAAATATATATATATATATATAACATCATTCAGAGTACATTGAGTTTATTAACTTTCTTGTAATAGATGCACCTGTTCATTTGTAAGGAACCACTGCTTTCCATTTCTCTCTCCCACCATATCCTGTCATCCATAGTAATCTGTAATGAATGTGCAGTGGAAACAGCTCCAGAATAAAGATGGAAGTGAAGTGATTCTAGCTATTTTAGAAAGAAGCTCAGGGCTAAAAGTGTGAAAGTAGAGTAATAGTGAAGTGGTAACCTCCTCTGACACTTCTGAGGAGATATACAATCCATACATAGGGCCTATTGTATGTGAATTCTTGTTATATTTACCTTAGAGATAAAGGGAAAGCAATCACACATATGGAAAATTTTCTAGAGAACCTTTTTAATATAATTATGATTAATGCTTCATAGGAAATATGACAAACTATAGCACAAATACTAAATATGTTTTGATTTAACATATAAAAACATTATTCAATAATACATTTTGTGTCTGATGATATGGACATGACTAAAATCTAGCAAGGATTTTAAAATGTTGGAAAAATGCTTGTTTCCTGTATGTATGGTCTTTTGTGGCCCTATTCAGTTATAATTACTGCCCACCTAAGAATAAACAGCTGAAGTCACTGCCATTTTATCTGTCACTGGCCAAATATGTCCAGTGGGAAAAATCTCAGATTGTAAATGTTTTGTGGTATAGAGTAGGTGGCCAGCTGATGATTCAAGCACTTCCTCTTTGCCTTCTAAGTTTGTGACATCAGATGAATATATCTTTTTGTTTTTTTAATAAATGACATTATTTTTAAAATACCTGGTTATGAGTTGAAGTACCTGGTTAAAGTACCTGGTTTAATTCTGTAAAATCGATAGTCAAATGTAGAGAGGTAAGGGGGTTGTATTGAGAAACAATTGTTTAAATTCCTTAAGAAGTTTAAAGTATACTTGAAGTATAGTTGAAATAAGCTCAAGTGATTAGATGATAATCTACTGTCTTTCCCATCGTGGTCCAGTGTTTTACCAGAGAATTTGCTGAGGTCTAAGAAAGGTAGAAATTTCTCAGTGTTTCTTGTCATACTCCAAATTTCCTATAATTATTTGAATTTTAGACACCCTTTGATTGTTCATTGATATTTAATTGAAAGTTGAAGTGTATTAGTCAGGTAACATTATCTTATATCATCTGTGATCATAACCACTCACCATACTTTCATTGGAAGGATAAATGGTTGAGGTGGTATTAACAACTATCTATTTAAAAAAACATAATTAAAATCACAGGATATATAATTTTTATAATTATATAAAAATATAATTGAAATCACTCATTCAGTTAAAAGGTGCAGTGTGTAAGAAGTAGGTCTTGTTTAGAGTTTTCCAGAGAAATATAACCAATAGAATAAAACCATTGAGGCATACTTGACTCTTACTTGGGGGAGAGTCAACTGACTTTTCTAGTGTGGCCTACACCTGACTGGATGAAGCCCATTCACATTAAAGATAGCTATCTGTTTTACTCAGTCTACCTAATTAAACATTAATCACATCCCAAAACACAATCACAGAAACACCAAAATGATATTTGACCAAATATTTGGACAACCCATGGTCTAGTGAAGTTTCTACATTAACTGTCATCCAGTGTAATCACTTTTTTTAATCAATAATTCCTATTTGTTATTTGGAAAATATGCTTGATTCTCTCTTTTATCTGTAAGTCAAGTTATGTGCCAAATACCACTTGCTTTCCATTCCTTAAAAATGGTAATGCAGAATTACAGTGCTGGTTTCATAATACACATTGAGTTCCTTGTAAGAAATAAACAAATGATCAACATGTTAACATTATCAATATGTTATAATATTTTAATATATTCAGTGGAGGCCATATCATCCACTATATGACATAAATAATGAACACCATCTAAGGAAAAGAAGAAAAACAATCTGTAAAATCTTTTGAATAATTCATGAATAGATGTGTACATACCTTGTGTTCTATAAGCTAAAGTAGGTACAATATTATGAAATATGATAAAGGACGAAAACTGATACAACCGAGTTAGATTTTATTTCTAAGTTTGTACAGTAAGGGTAGTTTTGAAGTATTTTTCAGTATATTTTATCAATTGATATCAGATTAAAAACTGTTAAATTTACTCTCTAATCCAGGAGCTTTGACCAAAACCATGGTCAAATAAATTTGATTTGAGGATGTTCATTTGTAAAATTTTTAGAAGAAAATACATGATCTCTAACAAAACATCTTGTTTTATGATTCTGTATTCTATATGATAGGTAGCAAATCTGTAGCCTGTGTATTTAAAAAATTAGAAATGCATCATTTACAAAACAAAGTTTTACATAAAAATTAAATGGCTGTATTTTTCTCAAATAAAATCTAACAACTTCTCCCTAAATTTGCATATGGTATCTGTTTATATTAAGGGTACAATCTTTCCATTTTCTTTCTCATTCACTATTTGAACAAATTTTTTATTGAGTATGATGCACTCATCATTCCTACATTGTCCAATTCTCTGCCTTCTCCAACTTTGGTAGACAATTTTATTTGCAATTCACGTTCTAAAACAAACAAACCAAAAACTGATTTTTGTTTTGTCTAACTAAATTGATGAATTAGTCTATAAAGTCAAATGTAGTATTAAAAGATTATTCAGTACTGGGATGTTACCAAGTAGTAAAATTTCCTTCAAGAAATGTGACTGGTTCCTTTTTCCTTCTTTCAGTCGCTATCCAGATTGACACCATATGACTCAGTTTTACGTGGAGGGAATAGAAGGAAAAAGTCTCAATTTGCTCATAGTGAATATGAGTACTGATGCTACTGTTTACTGAATAAATTAGTTACCATTATCTTTTGTGTTAGTGTCACCAGAATAAAGAGGAACAGATTAGTAAAATAGTATTTTACACTAAGGAACTTCTTACCAAATACATCAATACAAGGAAAGATATTCACAAATGAGTCTTCATACTTGGTTTATCTTTAGAGGAATGACATAAATTTGATGCCATCAGTTATGAGTACATAAAACTGTGAAACTATATTACTTTTTAAAAATGTAATCATTTAGACAGCACTTGTCTTGCTACTATACCTCTTACCAAGAGGTGGCAGTACCATAGTTTCAACATGCATCAGTTGATGGGAAATACTTAATACTGACTCAGGGTATCTTTTTTTTTTTTTCTGAAATTAGTAATACAAGTCAGTATTTAAGTTCATTCTCATAGAAATAAACTGTGTGATTATTACAGCACGTTTTTTGTTGACCATTAATAATCTTCTTTTTAGATACTATCTAGAACTTTCTTTTTATTACAGGCAATGTTCTCTAATGATTGCCAGCACATACAAACCTGGCTGCCTTACCACCATATTCAGTTCTTAGTGTGCTTAAGAAACAGTAAGTATGAAGGTAACTTGAGTAAAAGCACAATTTATTGTATTTACTGATATATGGGGGTGGCCCAAAATATATGTTACAGTGTTTATGTGAAACAAAGGAGATTTGAATTAAATGATGTAAAACCTTGCTTCTCACAGTGTGGTCCACGTTAGTCCCCTAAGAGCTCATTGTAAATGTAGAATTTCAGTACCCACTCATTCTTAATCTGAATGTGCATTTTATCAGGATCCCCAAATGATCTGAATCCTAGTAAATGATGAGAAGTACTCATCTGAATTAATGTTTACAAAAATCACTGATAATCACAACTGACCTTAGAACAGTGCTTTATAAGTCTTGTTCCACCAAATCCTCCAAGTGTGAAGCAGTACTTCTCTGGTGACCATGAGAAGTGTCCTAGAGTAGGACAGTTAGATTCAACATCTGCTGTCTTTACAAATGTTTAAGTGTACAATACAGTGTTGTGGACTACTGGTATAATGTCGTAAAATAGATGAAATTTTTTCATCTCTAGAATTTAATCATCTGAAACTTTCTGCACATTGATTAGTAACTCCTCGTTTATTCCTTTCTCCAACCCCCAGCAATCACCATAACATTCTTTGATTCTTTGAATTTGACTATTTGAGATACCTCATATATGTGGAATCGTGCAGTTTTTGTCTTACTATGTGTAGTTTATTTCACTTACAATAGTACCTTCAAATTTCATACACGTTATGTGTCACAGAAGGTCTTTTGTTTTTAAAGCCAAATAATATTGCATTGTGTGTGTGTGAATATTTATATTATATTTTCATTATTCATTCATCTACTGGTGAGCATTGAAGTTTCTTTCTTACCTTGACAATTGTTAACAGTACTGCACTGAACATGAGAGTGCTAATATCTCTTTGAGAAGCTGATTTAAATTACCCAGATGTGTAATTACTGGATTACATAGTAGTAATTCAACAGACTGGTTCCAAATAGGAAAAGGAATATGACAAGGCTGTATATTGTCACCCTGCTTATTTAACTTATATATAGAGTACATCATGAGAAACGCTGGGCTGGAAGAAGCACAAGCTGGAATCAAGATTGCCGGGAGAAATATCAATAACCTCAGATATGCAGATGACACCACCCTCTTAGCAGAAAGTGAAGAGGAACTAAAAAGCCTCTTGAGGAAAGTGAAAGAGGAGAGTGAAAAAGTTGGCTTAAAGCTCAACATCCAGAAAACTAAGATCATGGCATCTGGTCCCATCACTTCATGGGAAATAGATGGGGAAATAGTGAAAACAGTGTCACACTTTACTTTTTTGGGCTCCAAGATCAGTGCAGATGGTGACTGCAGCCATGAAATTAAAAGATGCTTGCTCCTTGGAAGGAAAGTTATGACCAACGTAGACAGCATATTAAAAAGCAGAGACATTACTTTGTCAACAAAGGTCTGTCTAGTCAAGGCTATGGTTTTTCCGGTGGTCATGTATGGATGTGAAAGTTGGACTGTGAAGATAATTGAGTGCCAAAGAATTGATGCTTTTGAACTGTGTTGTTAGAGAAGACTCTTGAGAGTCCCTTGGACTGCAAGGAGATCCAGCCAGTCCATCCTAAAGGAGATCAGTCCTGGGTGTTCACTGGAAGGACTGATGCTGAAGCTCAAACTCCAATACTTTGGCCACCTCATGTGAAGAGCTGACTCATTGGAAAAGACCCTGATGCTGGGAGGGATTGGGGGCAGAAGGAGAAGGGGACGACAGAGGCTGAGATGGCTGGATGGCATCACCGACTCGATGGGCATGAGTTTGAGTAAACTCCGGGAGTTTGTGAGGGACAGGGAGGCCTGGCATGCTGCGATTCATGGGGTCACAAAGAGTCAGACATGAATGAGTGACTGAACTGAACTAAATTCTATTTTTAACTTTTTCATAGTATTTTTAATGTTTTCTGTAGAAGCTCTATCATGTTGCATTCACACCAATGCACACCAATGTGTGCATGTGGAGTTTTCCCAACATATTTGTTGAAGAGTAACTTTGATCCATTAAATTGTAATGTCTTTGTTGATATTTTTCATTAAGTTGAGGAAATTTTTCTCTATTGCTGTTTACTGAAAGTTTTCATCACTAATGAGTATTAGATTTTGTCAAATGCTGATCTGTATCTTCTGATATTATCATATGATTTTTCTTTCCAGTGGGTTGATATGATGCATTATATACCTTGGATAAATCCAACAATGTCTTATTGTATAATTATTTTTATACACTGCTGGCTTTGTTTTCTTCTAGTTGTTTTACAGTTTCAGGTCTACATTGAAGACTTTAATCAGTTTTAAATTTTTTGGTGTGTTTCTGTTTGTCATTAGAGAATGGGCCAGTTCCAATATTTCATGTATCTATTCTTATGCTGGTACTGTACCATTTTGATTACTATAGCTTTGTATTACATTTTGAGACCAGATAGCGTGATGCCTGCAGCATTGAATTTATAGATTTCTTTGGGCAGTATTGATATTTTAGCAATACGGTCTTCCAGGCTGTGAATATAAATATGTTTCCATTTTTGTGTGTCTTGACTAATTTATTTTATCAATATTTTATAACTTTTGGTATAAAAGTTGTTTTCTTTCTTAGTTAAGTTTATTTCTCATCTGATTTTGGGCAGTTGAGTTGTCTATTATGTGGTGAAATGCAAAACCAGCACCAACAGTGACCATTATTTAAATTTCTTTGGAATTCTTAGGAAAAAACACTGCATTCAAAACACCTCTAAAGTATTTTAAAGCAGCCACTGTTTAATTTATTTTTTGAAATAGATCACATTTTTGGCCTGATCACTGCTGCCTTAATGATGGGAGCTACATTGTAAATATATGTCTTTATACTTTATACATTGAAGTAATAATTGGCTCTGTATCAAAGTTAAAAGAGAAGGGCTTTTGCCAAGCAAAGAAAACACCTTTATGTTCATATCTTTCACATCACTTACTATTAAGAAAAACTATCCTTGACTACGGTGGGAGCCAGAATTACATGTGGCAGGGATCACAGTAATCACACCGTAATCACACCTCTGTTTCTCCTTTGCTTTTCCTCTTAGTCTGGTGGTGGTGGTGGTTTTGTTCCTATCTTGTGGCTGACTCTTGTGACTCCATGGACTATAGCACGTCAGACTTCTTTGTCCATGGGATGTTCCAGGCAAGAATACTGGAGTGGGTTGCCATTGCCTTCTCCAGGGGATCTTCCTAACCCAGAGATCGCACTCACATCTCCTGCATTGGCAAGCAAATTCTGTACCAGTGAGCCAGCAGGGAAGCACTCCTCTTAGTGTAGTATCCGTTAATCTAATTAAAGTGGTAACATGATAAAATTGTACCTTATGTTTCTCTTTAAGCTCTCCATTGTGAGAGGTTGAGCATATTATATGAAGCAGATGATTAGTATATATACTTCCTTTGCTCTTGTTGCAACTTCAACTTCGTCTGTTTGTATCAATTAACATTCATGACATATGTAATTTTGTACTGATGGTAAAGGGACTTTAAGTTATGAAATAGAATATATGGGGGGAGAATAGGCAAGAAGGTTGCATATAATATGACATCTATCAGTGTTAGGTCTTACAATTTAATTTACTTTCCTAATTAGTAGATGGAGAAGTTTTGGAATTTTCTAAAATAGATGAAAGGAGGACTTTGGGATATAAAACTTTGATTCAGGCATTACCAATTCATAGTTTATATTTTAAAAAGAAAATCCTTCTCTCTTGCAAAAACAGTCCGGCAATTACTACTTCACATGATGAGAATATCCAGGAGTAAGATGTCTGTTTTTAGGTGAATGTCACAACTTCATTGGAAAAGAGCATGGCAACCCACGCTTGTATTCTTGCTTGGAGAATCCCATGGACAGAGGAGCCTGGCAAGCTACAGTCCATGGGGTCACAGAGAGTCGGACTTGACTAAAGTGACTTAGCAGGCAGCCATGCAGCATTTTCATGTTGTGGAAGATGACTGTGGTGTTCATCAGCAGTTTGGCAGGCACTGTGCAAAGCTAGTGGAAGTGATAAAATTCCAGTTGAGCTATTTCAAATCCTAAAAGATAATGCTGTGAAAGTGCTGCACTCAACATATCAGCAAATTTGGAAAACACAGCAGTAGCCGCAGGACTGGAAAAGGTCAGTTTTCACTCCAATCCCTAAGAAAGGAAATGCCAAAGAATGCTCAAACTTCTGCACAATTGCACTCATTTCACATGCTAGCAAAGTAATGCTCAAAATCCTCCAAGCCAGGCTTCAACAGTACGCGAACTGTGAGCTTCCAGATATTCAAGCTGGTTTAGAAAATGCAGAGGAAACAGAGATCAAATTTGCCAACATCCATTGGATCATTGAAAAAGCAAGAGAGTTCCAGAAAAACATCTTTCTGCCTTATTGGCTATGTCAAAGCCTTTAACTGTGTGGATCACAATAAACTGTGAAAAATTCTGAAAGAGATGAGAATACCAGACCACCTAACCTGGCTCTTGAGAAATCTGTATGCAGGACTGCTCCTGCTGCTGCTAAGATGCTTCAGTTGTGTCCGACTCTCTGCAACCCCATAGATGGCAGCCCGCCAGGCTCCCTCATCCCTGTGTTTCTCCAGGCAAGAACACTGGAGTGAGATGCCATTTCCTTTTCCAATGTGTGAAAGTGAAAAGTGTGAGGTTGCTCAGTTGTGTCCCACTCTTAGCGATCCCATGGACTGCAGCCTACCAGGCTCCTCCATCCATGGGATTTTCCAGGCAAGAGTACCGGAGTGGGTAGCCATTGCCTTCCCCGTGTATGCAGGTCAGGAAGCCACAGTTAGAACTGGACATAGAACAACAGACTGCTACAAATAGGAAAAGGAGTACATAAAGACTGTATATTATCACCCTGCTTATTTAACTTATATCCATAGTACATCATGAGAAATGCTGGGCTTGATGAAGCACAAGCTGGAATCAAGATTGCTGGGAGAAATATCAATA